ACACACATACACTGCATTCACTAACACAACACACACACACTGCATACACTAACACAACACACACACTGCATACACTGACACACACATACACACACTGCATACACTAACACAACACACACTGCATACATTAACACACACACTGCATACACTAACACACACACACACTGAATACACTAACACAACACACTGCATACACTAACACACACACACACTGCATACACTAACACACACTGCATACACTAACGCAACACACACTGCATCCGCTACACTAACACACACTCTGCATCCGCTACACTAACACACACTCTGCATCCGCTACACACTAACACACTCTCTGCATTCACCACACATTAACACTGCATTCACTACACTAACACACACTCTGCATCCGCTACATACTAACACACTCTCTGCATTCACTACAAATTTACACACACTATGCATTCACTGCACTAACACACACACTACATTCATTACACTGACGCACTCTGCATTCACTACACACTAACATACACTCTGCCTTCACTAAACTATGCACACACTCTGGATTCACTAAACTATGCACACACTCTGGATTCACTAAACTGACACACACTCTGCATTAACTGTACACACAGCATCCACTACACAAACATCCTGTATTCACAGTACACACACTACATCCACCACAAATTGAAACACTCTGCATTCACTATACACAGACACTGCGTCTAATACACACACTACATCCACTACAGAGACTGCATCCACTAAGCACATTTCATCTAGTACATACAAACACTACATCCACTACACAAACACACACTACATCACTGTACACACACTACATCACTGTACACACACTACATCCACTACTCAAAAACACTCTGCGTTCACTATACACACTGCATCCGCTACACAAACACACACTCTGCATTTATTGCACAAACAGTATCTAATACACACAAACACTACATCCATTACACACATTCTAATTCACTTCCACTATACACACACCACATTCAGTCCTGCATCATTGTGAGCGGACTAGGTAGGGCGTGGGCGGGCCCGCGAGGAGGGTGGGGGGGCCCAGACCTTGTGCTTTGTCATGGGCCCCAAATTTTCTGATGGCGGCCCTGTGACCAGGCATCTACATGCAAAGCACGAGCTGCAGTGGATTAAGCACATCAAAAACCAAGAAAGGTCCTCAGGCTCCTCCTGCTTCCTCTTCTGCTGCTGTCTCAGCCTCTTCCTCCACAACTGACAGTGTCACCTACCACCCCGCAAACAGAGGATGTGGCAGCAACGCAACCATGTCCACCACCGTCCCCAAGCATCTCCACACTGTCCCATGGAAGCGTTCAGCTGTCCATCTCCCAAACACTGGAGAAAAAGAGGAAGTACGCCCCTACCCACCCACAATCCCTGGCCCTGAATGCCAGCATTTCAAAATTCGTGGCCTTTCAAATGCTGTCATTCCGTCTGGTGGAGACAGACAGTTTTAAAAACCTGATGGCGGTGGCTGTCCCACAGTATGTGGTTCCCAGCTGCCACTACTTTTCCTGGCGAGCCATCCCTTCCCTGCACAACCAATTGGAGGACAAAATCAGGTGTGCACTGCGCAACTCCATCAGTGGCAAGGTCCACATAACCACAGATACGTGGACCAGTAAGCACGGGCAGGGATGTTATATCTCCCTAACTGCACAATGGGCAAATGTAGTGGCGGCTGGGCCTGATGCGGATAGCATTTTGGGCATGTCCTTCCGCCACCGAGGATTGCAGGGCATTTCTCTGTGCCTCCTGTTGCCTCCTCCTCCTACTCCGCTTCCTCCTCCTCTACCACCACCTCATCCGGGAAGCGTAACACCACCAACTTCAGCACAGCCAGGGGGAAACGACAGCAGGCTGTTTTAAAACTGATATGTTTGGGGGGAAACCTCACACCGCGCAGGAGCTGTGGACGGGTATAGAACAACAGACGATGAGTGGTTGTTGCCACTGAGCCTCAAGCCCAGCCTGGCGGTGTGCGATAATGGGCGAAATCTCGTAGCAGCTCTGGGCCTAGCCGGTTTGCCGCACATTCGTTGCCTGGCGCATGTGCTGAATTTGGTGGTGCAGAAATTCCTGAAAAACTACCCAGATATATCAGACCTGCTGCAGAAAGTGCGGGCCGTCTGTGCGCGCTTTAGTTGTTCTCACCCTGCTGCTGCTCGCCTGTCTGTGCTGTAGCGTAACTTTGGCCTTCCCGCTCAACCCCTCATATGCGACGTGCCCACAAGGTGGAATTCCACCTTGCACATGCTGGAGAGACTGTGCGAGCAACAGCAGGCGATAGTGGAGTTTCAGATGCAGCACGCACGGGTCAGTAGCTCTACGGAACAGCACCACTTCACCACCAATGAGTGGGCCTCCATGCGAGACCTGTGTGCCATTTTGCACTGTTTCGAGTACTCCACCAACATGGCCAGTGCCGATGACGCCGTTCTCAGCCTTACTATCCTGCTTCTGTCTCCTTGAAAAAACGCTGCGGGCGATGATGGAAGAGGATGTGGCACAGGAGGAAGAGGAGGAGGGGTCATTTCCACAGTTATCAGGCCAGTCATTCACAAGTGGCTTGGAGGGTGGGTTCCTGCACCAGCATAGGCCAGGTACACAATTGTCCAGCCAGTGCACAGTTCTGGAGGATGAGGAGGAGGATGATGAGGATGAGGAACCGTGTTCACAGCAGGGTGGCACCCAACGCAGCTCATGGGCATCATGACCCTCATTCCCTCTGTTACTGTGTCACTATACCCCACTCCCTCTAGCATGTAAACTCACTGAGCAGGCCCTCAATCCCTCTGTTACTTTGTCACTATACCCCACTCCCTCTAACATGTAAACTCACTGAGCAGGCCCTCAATCCCTCTGTTACTGTGTCACTATACCCCACTCCCTCTAACATGTAAACTCACTGAGCAGGCCCTCAATCCCTCTGTTACTGTGTCACTATACCCCACTCCCTCTAACATGTAAACTCACTGAGCAGGCCCTCAATCCCTCTGTTACTGTGTCAATATACCCCACTCCCTCTAACATGTAAACTCACTGAGCAGAGCCCTCAATCCCTCTGTTACTGTGTCACTATACCCCACTCCCTCTAACATGTAAACTCACCTAGCAGGGCCCTCAATCCCTCTGTTACTGTGTCACTATACCCCACTCCCTCTAGCATGTAAACTCACTGAGCAGGCCCTCAATCACTCTGTTACTGTGTCACTATACCCCACTCCCTCTAACATGTAAACTCACTGAGCAGGCCCTCAATCCCTCTGTTACTGTGTCACTATACCCCACTCCCTCTAGCATGTAAACTCACTGAGCAGGGCCCTCAATCCCTCTGTTACTGTGTCACTATGCCCCACTCCCTCTAGCATGTAAACTCACTGAGCAGGGCCCTCAATCCCTCTGTTACTGTCACTATACCCCACTCCCTCTAACATGTAAACTCACTGAGCAGGGCCCTCAACCCCTCTGTTACTGTGTCACTATATCCCACTCCCTCTAATATGTAAGCTCACTGAGCAGGGCCCTCAATCCCTCTGTTACTGTGTCACTATACCCCACTCCCTCTAACATGTAAACTCACTGAGCAGGGCCCCCAATCCCTCTGTTACTGTGTCACTATACCCCTCTCCCTCTAACATGTAAACTCACTGAGCAGGGCCCTCAATCCCTCTGTTACTGTGTCACTATACCCCACTCCCTCTAACATGTAAACTCACTGAGCGGGCCCTCAATCCCTCTGTTACTGTGTCACTATACCCCACTCCCTCTAACATGTAAACTCACTGAGCAGGGCCCTCAATCCCTCTGTTACTGTGTCACTATACCCCACTCCCTCTAGCATGTAAACTCACTGGGCAGGCCCTCAATCCCTCTGTTACTGTGTCACTATACCCCACTCCCTCTAACATGTAAGCTCACTGAGCAGGACCCTCAATCCCTCTGTTACTGTCACTATACCCAACTCCCTCTAACATGTAAACTCACTGAGCAGGGCACTCAATCCCTCAGTTACTGTCACTATACCCCACTCCCTCTAACATGTAACCTCACTGAGCAGAGCCCTCAATCCCTCTGTTACTGTCACTATACCCCACTCCCTCTAACATGTAAACTGACTGAGCAGGACCCTCAATCCCTCTGTTACTGTGTCACTATACCCCACTCCCTCTAACATGTAAACTCACTGAGCAGGGCCCTCAATCCCTCTGTTACTGTGTCACTATACCCCACTCCCTCTAACATGTAAACTCACTGAGCAGGCCCCTCAATCCCTCTGTTACTGTGTCACTATACCCCACTCCCTCTAACATGTAAACTCACTGAGCAGGCCCTCAATCCCTCTGTTACTGTGTCACTATACCCCACTCCCTCTAACATGTAAACTCACTGAGCAGGCCCTCAATCCCTCTGTTACTGTGTCACTATACCCCACTCCCTCTAACATGTAAACTCACTGAGCAGGGCCCTCAATCCCTCTGTTACTGTGTCACTATACCCCACTCCCTCTAACATGTAAACTCACTGAGCAGGCCCTCAATCCCTCTGTTACTGTGTCACTATACCCCACTCCCTCTAACATGTAAACTCACTGAGCAGGCCCTCAATCCCCTGTTACTGTGTCACTATACCCCACTCCTCTAACATGTAACTCACTGAGCAGGCCCTCAATCCCTCTGTTACTGTGTCACTATACCCCCACTCCCTCTAACATGTAAACTCACTGAGCAGGCCCCTCAATCCCTCTGTTACTGTCACTATACCCCACTCCCTCTAACATGTAAACTCACTGAGCAGGCCCTCAATCCCTCTGTTACTGTGTCACTATACCCCACTCCCTCTAACATGTAAACTCACTGAGCAGGCCCCTCAATCCCTCTGTTACTGTGTCACTATACCCCACTCCCTCTAACATGTAAACTCACTGAGCAGGGCCTCAATCCCTCTGTTACTGTCACTATACCCCAGTCCCTCTAACATGTAAACTCACTGAGCAGGCCCTCAATCCCTCTGTTACTGTGTCACTATACCCCACTCCCTCTAACATTAAACTCATTGAGCAGGCCCTCAATCCCTCTGTTACTGGTTTTGCTCTGTTTTATTTTAGTCATAATGCTTGTTTGTTGATTAATTGGTATAATTGATTAATAATAATCGTTAGTTTATATTATTTTCACACATCATTAAAGGAATACTGCAGAGTTATAAATATGTATCTGTATTCCTAACGCCACAGTCCTGTTGCCCCTTTTTCTCCAGCTCCAAGTCTTCTACGGTTGCATCATAGCGGAGATGTCCTTCTAGGGTGATGGGCCAATCCAATGTTCCCCATAGAGGATGTGACGAGACCAATCTCGCCACATTGCATTGGAGAAGCCTGGTTGCTCGCCTGCTGCCTTTGGACTATGGCCCCTTTGTAAAAGACTTTATTTTTGCATGCAGAAAAGCTGTATTCGTGCTTTTCTGCCGGTTGTTCGGTAGTTTCAATCTACCGAACAACCGTACGAATGACTGGACCACCTGGGAGCTGGAGTGTGCCGGCAATTAACCTCCCTGAAGCTGCGGTTAACCGCAGCTTAATTGATGAACGCTGGGTGGCCGCCGTTCGTATCCCGAACACGAGGTTGCGGCCATTTTAAACCATACGAATGAACAGCGGTGTTCGCCTCTATTTTCATGGAACTAAAATCGGACACAGTTTTGCGCGAACACCGCTGAAGCCGCCGACCTCCCTTCTTGTTCGGTGAAAGCACACGAATGACCCGGTGTTCGGTATTTTTGTGTGAATATCTTATACCCCAGATAGGAATCCCATGGAGCCCATTCGTATGAAACTGACTGTAAAGACTTTGGCTCCATGGCGATTGAACTGTATTCGTGTAGTCTGAGTGCCATTCACCTAATAATGTGCACTCAGACCTGAGCTATCTGGGGATATGTTACATGTCTGTGGTTTATGTAGTAAATGTTACTTTATGTATTTTAAAGTGTTATGCTGGTTTTGTGTTCCCACATGTGTAATGGAGTTTTGCCTTTGTCTTGGGAGATAATTGAGTTACTTCCCAATTATCTCCCAGGGCAGAGGGGAGGAAGCCAGGATGCATTGTGGGAATATACTGTGACTGTGTGTCCTTTTTGTATACGTGTCTGTCCCTTGTCACAGTCTTCCATCTGGTCCCCTAGGGGAGTGTCCACCAGGTGGGAGACCTGCATAAAAGCCGGGCAGGTAGCCCTCATTAAACAGACCACTGCTTGACCCTCAACACGGAGCCTTGTCTCGTTCTTGGGGGGATTCACTGTATGCTGTTAGAGACTGATTGCCAGGAGTGTAAGCTGTTCGTCTGCTTTTCCTGTTCGTCTGCTAGCAGCTATTTGGGAGGTTCCAGTTCGGGAGTTGGAGTGCTATTTTGTATCCAGTTCGGGAGTTTTGGTGTTCTGCAGTAGCTGTGCCTGGATCTCTGGAAAGGGGGCCGATCGCCTAAACGGTTTTTACCCCTTGTGTGCAAAACGGTCCGTTACAATTGGTGGCAGCGGTGGGATCGTTCCTACAACCAGAAGGACAGCTACAGGAGACACCATTTCTTTGGATTTTACAATTTGAGGGCAACGCATGTCCCAGTACAGCGACCCTGACAGCACCAGCATGGAACCAGCAGTGGAGTATGACGAGGGTGCCATGGATGACCGAGATGCAGTCCGTAAAGGCATCTGGTACCAGGCACTGGGTATTGTGGAGTACCAGCGGGGCAAGAGACTCCCCAAGGAAGACCAGCGGTTGCAGAAGCGAGTAGCCCTGCGGATGCCCTTCCTGGGAGAGCAGCCCCTGGAGGAATGGGTGAGGAAATTGGAACACCTAGTATGGCAGGAGTTGTGGCTAGAAGATGCCTACCAGGCGCTCTGGTGGTATGGGGCACAGTACCTACCCTGGACAGCCGAGCATGACAAGCCAGAGGGAGAGGAGTTTGATGGTCCTGGCTTGTTATGGGAGTCGTTTTCAGAGCTCGAATTTGGGAGCCCTACACAAGCCCGGTTCAGTGATCTCTGGGAGTGGAGGGAGAGCAGGTATGACTGGGACGACGCTCACAAAATTGAGCAAGACCTGGTCCACCTGGTAACCCGAGAGATGGAGCTAGAACAGGGCTACCAGCAGCTGTTTCAATACAGCGAGAAGGCTCAGCAGGAGAGCAGCATGACAGAGCCAGAGCCAGACCCATTCAGCTGGGAAGACATTGTGGATATTTTCTGGGAAGAACCCCAGGTGGCCGGTAGAGATGGGACCGAGGTCTCTCCACCGGTCCTGCAGGGAATTGGGAGCCCAGTCTCCATTCCCCAGCGGCCGTGTGATTTATTGGGAATTGGGAGCCCAGTCTCCATTCCCCAGCAGGAGATATTGCAGGGAATTGGGAGCCTGAGCTCCATTCCCCAGCGGCAGGCTGAGTTACAGGGGGCAGAGGTAGTTGTTCCTGCCCCCCAGCAGCAGAATGAATTGCAAGGAATTGGGAGCCCGAGCTCCATTCCCCAGCGGGAGATATTGCAGGGAATTGGGAGCCTGAGCTCCATTCCCCAGCGGCAGGCTGAGTTACAGGGGGCAGAGGTAGTTGTTCCTGCCCCCCAGCAGCAGAATGAATTGCAGGGAATTGGGAGCCTGAGCTCCATTCCCCAGCGGCAGGCTGAGTTACAGGGGGCAGAGGTGGTTGTTCCTGCCCCCCAGCAGCAGAGTGATATGCCGGGAAGGCAGTGTGAAGTGCAGGGAGAGGAGAGTAGTGTCCTCCCTCCCCAGCGGCAGCGTGATTTTTTGGGAATTGGGAGCCCAGTCTCCATTCCCCAGCGGCAGTATGATGCTTTGGGAATTGGGGGCCCAGTCTCCATTCCCCAGCGGCAGCACAGATCATTGGGAATTGGGAGCCCCGTCTCCATTCCCCAGCGGCAGAGTGTCCTACCGGGAATAGAGAGCCCAGTCTCCTTTCCCAGCAGCAGGACTCTGTATTGGGAGCAGAGACAGTCGGTCTCCCTCCCCCGCAGCTGGAAGTATGTATGGGAGAGGAGCTTGTTACCCCCTCTCCCCAGCGGCGAAACAATGTACAAAGGGGAGACCGGTAGCCCCACAGCGGTTACTGGCAGATGGGACGTGGTCTCTACACTGCCAAGCACAGGGGGTAGGGGCCGGTCGGGAGGTCCCTGCCCCAGCGACAGGAGCTGTTTAGCCAAAGGGAGACAGTGGTCTCCCTCGCGCTTGCTGAGATGGGTAACCAAAGAAGGGGAGGCGGTGGGTCTCCAGCAGCAGCAGCAGAAGCGGTGTATTTAAAGGGGAGCAGTGGTCTCCCCTCCAACTAACAGGCTTCCACAGGCTACCCTCCCAGTAGCGCTGGCACCAGGGCAGAGTACCGCTGGTCTCTGCCCACTCAGCAACCCACCAAGTCAGCGTACCCGTACCCAGCACAGCCATGGTGAGGCACCTGGACATGGACAAGCTTCTCCTCTACCCAGGTGTAGTAACCGTTTATTGTGGGTAGGCTGTGCTGTTGATTGTGTTTTGTGGGTGGGCTGCTGGACTAACAAGGGCACTGACCGGCAGGAGGTCAGATACCCTGTTAGTCTGTTTGGAAAAGGGGAGAGATGTGACGAGACCAATCTCGCCACATTGCATTGGAGAAGCCTGGTTGCTCGCCTGCTGCCTTTGGACTATGGCCCCTTTTTAAAGACTTTATTTTTGCATGCAGAAAAGCTGTATTCGTGCTTTTCTGCCGGTTGTTCGGTAGTTTCAATCTACCGAACAACCGTACGAATGACTGGACCACCTGGGAGCTGGAGTGTGCCGGCAATTAACCTCCTGAAGCTGCAGTTAACCGCAGCTTAATTGATGAACGCTGGGTGGCCGCCGTTCGTATCCCGAACACGAGGTCGCGGCCATTTTAAACCATACGAATGAACAGCGGTGTTCGCCTCTATTTTCATGGAACTAAAATCGGACACAGTTTTGCGTGAACACCGCTGAAACCGCCGACCTCCCTTCTTGTTCGGGGAAAGCACACGAATGACCCGGTGTTCGGTATTTTTGTGTGAATGTCTTATACCCCAGATAGGAATCCCATGGAGCCCATTCATATGAAACTGACTGTAAAGACTTTGGCTCCATGGCGATTGAACTGTATTCGTGTAGTCTGAGTGCCATTCACCTAATAATGTGCACTCAGACCTGAGCTATCTGGGGATATGTTACATGTCTATGGTTTATGTAGTAAATGTTACTTTGTGCATTTTAAAGTGTTATGCTGGCTTTGTGTTCCCACGTGTGTAATGGAGTTTTGCCTTTGTCTTGGGAGATAATTGAGTTACTTCCCAATTATCTCCCAGGGCAGAGGGGAGGAAGCCAGGATGCATTGTGGGAATATACTGTGACTGTGTGTCCTTTTTGTATACGTGTCTGTCCCTTGTCACAGTCTCCCATTTGGTCCCCTAGGGGAGTGTCCACCAGGTGGGAGACCTGCATAAAAGCTGGGCAGGTAGCCCTCATTAAACAGACCACTGCTTGACCCTCAACACGGAGCCTTGTCTCGTCTTTGGGGGGATTTACTGTATGCTGTTAGAGACTGATTGCCAGGAGTGTAAGCTGATTGTCTGCTTTTCCTGTTCGTCTGCTAGCAACTATTTGGGAGGTTCCAGTTCGGGAGTTGGAGTGCTATTTTGTATCCAGTTTGGGAGTTTGGTGTTCTGCAGTAGCTGTGCCTGTATCTCTGGAAAGGGGGCCGATCGCCTTAACGGTTTTTACCCCTTGTGTGCAAAACGGTCCGTTACAGAGGACCATTGAGGAATGCAGGCACATGTGCAGCACTCACCACAACGCACCTACAATTCCTGCATAGGGAATCATTGTATTTAGTTATTCTCTATGACTGACTGTGACGGCACTGAGCATGGACATGTGATGTCACGTAATGTTACGGTATGAGAGTCGGGACGTGAGATACCTGGATCTCATCCCCAGAAGGCTTGGCAGTGTTGCTTGAAGCTGCACTTCCAAGAATTATATTTAGTTTAATATAGAAACATAGAAACATATGTTTCTATGTTTCTAGTTTAATATTGGGTTTTGGAGGTAGGACAAGGTGGCCAGCACTGAAGGCACTATACGAACTTCAATAAGATGAAGTTGTTAATATGCCTACAGTGTTCTTTTAAGTGCAAGAAGGTGTTTGCGGTGCTTGTTCTGCTCATGTAAAAATCTCTTAAAACATTTAGGGATATTGGTTATTTGTCAGAAAAATTGTTACATTTTGTAAAAACTTGAGTGTTTATTGTACGTATAGGATCCATTTAGACCGGTCTGATAACAGTAAAAGTTTTGTCAAATAGTGTCAGAACAATGGGATTGTGATCACTTGGATACTGGTAATGGCTTATCGGCAGCTGTTAATAAGGCAATAAATATCCGATATCAGATTGCACTTTCTCTAAATGTTTTTGGGAGTCTCTGACAAAATCTTGGGATAACTTATGAGAATGTTTGAAAATTGAATTTCTTGCATTTTAATGACACTCAGTTAGAAATCCAGATTGTTTTTTATTTTATTTTTTCAGGTGATCAGCACAGCTTCAAACTCCATGACTTGGGCATCTACATAGCTACCTTTACTGAAAGTGGCAACTTGGGGGTCCTGAGCTAATATACGTTCATGTTATTATTCCACATTAAACAATAAGTCTTTTATGTTCTGCAGAAAGACTCTGAATATCACCTGTAGACTGTAATAGAATCTGTGCTCTGCTTATGGGAGCTTGGTGTGTTACAGACAGTGTATGCTGGCTATTGGTAACTTAATAATAATAACCTAAGAACTTAACTTCATTTAAATAAATTACAATTATTTTAGAACAATTGAAAATTTGAACATTTGTCAGGTTTTTTTTAGGATTACAAGAATTTAAGGAAATTCTGTGATTAATTATTCTTACCCTCTACAGGTGTAGCCGGAGTGAGGGTCATACAGATCCCCCCATCCCTCGTCCTGCAGGAGGGTCAGACAGCCAGCATGTCCTGCTCTCTAGGAAGAAGACAGAATGTCGAAATATTACATTACTGGTGGAAGACTGGGGCCCAGGATTCCAATGTGCTCCAGAACAGCTCCAGAATCACCATCACCTCCAACCTCCAGTCCAGCTCTCTCCTTATCTCCTCTGTCACAGCCAGGGACAGTGGGCTGTATGTGTGTGAAATAGTGGTAGACAAAACATCTTTACTTTATACCTACACTGGGAATGGGTCACACCTCCTGGTCACAGGTAAAATTGCCATGTTATATACTTTATATATTTAGCCATGTAGTTGAAAACATATTGAAAACTTAGTGAGATTTTTTTCTTTTTTTTTTTTTAATACATTCAGAAATAGTTATTTTTTTAGTTACATATTACATAGACAAAGAGTACATGTTTTTGCTATATGATTCCCAACAAACATAGGTAAATTTATAGTAAAATAATAAAAACATAAAAGGTCAAGTGCCTAGTGATAAAAAAAAATATTTATAAAACATTACATAGTTACATAGTTACATAGCCGAAAAGAGACTTACGTCCATCAAGTTCAGCCTTCCTCAAATATGTTTTTGCAGTTGGTCCAAAAGAAGGTAAAAAAAAACCCAGTCTGAAACTCTTCCAATTTTGCAACAAACTAGGAAGAATTTCCTTTTTGACCCCAAAATAGCAGTCAGATTTATCCTTGGATCAAGCAGCTATTATCCCACTAATTAGAAATTATATCCCTGTATGTTATGTTTTTGCAAGTATTTATCCAATTGCAGTTTAAACATCTGTATGGACTGATAAAACCACCTCTTCAGGTAAAGAATTCCATATCCTTATTGCTCTTACTGTAAAAAAAACTTGACTTTGCCTTAGATGAAATCTCCTTTCTTCCAGCCTAAATGTGTGACCTTGTGTCCTATGTATAGCCCTGTTTATGAATAGATTTGCAGATAACGGTTTGTACTGGCCCCGAATATATTTGTACTGCTCCCAGTGACCCTGTAATAACATAATATTTACTGCTCCCAGTGACCCTGTAATAACATAATATTTACTGCTCCCAGTGACCCTGCAATAACATAATATTTACTGCTCCCAGTGACCCTGTAATAACATAATATTTACTGCTCTCAGTGACCATGTAATACCATAATATGTACTGCTCCCAGTGACCCTGTAATAACATAATATGTACTGCTCCCAGTGACCCCTGTAATAACATAATATGTACTGCTCTCAGTGACCATGTAATAACATAATATTTACTGCTCCCAGTGACCCTGTAATAACATAATATTTACTGCTCCCAGTGACCCTGTAATAACATAATATTTACTGTTCCCAGTGACCCCTGTAATAACATATTTACTGCTCCCTAGTGACCCTGTAATAATGTAATATTTACAGCTCCCAGTGACCATGTAATAACATAATATTTACTGCTCCCAGTGACCCTGTAATAACATAATATTTACTGCTCCCAGTGACCATGTAATAATATATTTACTGCTCTCAGTGACCATGTAGTAACATAATATTTACTGCTCCCAGTGACCCTGTAATAATATATTTACTGCTCCCAGTGACCCTGTAATAATATATTTACTGCTCCCAGTGACCATGTAATAACATAATATTTACTGCTCCCAGTGACCCCTGTAATAACATAATATATACTGCTCACAGTGACCCCTGTAATAACATAATATTTACTGCTCCCAGTGACCATGTAATAACATAATATGTACTGCTCCCAGTGACTCTGTAATAACATAATATTTACTGCTCCCAGTGACCCTGTAATAACATAATATTTACTGCTCCCAGTGACCATGTAATAACATAATATTTACTGCTCCCAGTGACCCTGTAATAACATAATATTTACTGCTCCCAGTGACCATGTAATAACATAATATTTACTGCTCCCAGTGACCCCTGTAATAACATAATATTACTGCTCCCAGTGACCCTGTAATAACATAATATTTACTGCTCCCAGTGACCCCTGTAATAACATAATATTACTGCTCCCAGTGACCCTGTAATAACATAATATGTACTGCTCCCAGGGACCCTGTAATAACATAATATTTACTGCTCCCAGTGACCCTGTAATAACATAATATTTACTGCTCCCAGTGACCCTGTAATAACATAATATGTACTGCTCCCAGTGACCCTGTAATAACATAATATTTACTGCTCCCAGTGACCATGTAATAACATAATATTTACTGCTCCCAGTGACCCCTGTAATAACATAATATTACTGCTCCCAGTGACCCTGTAATAACATAATATTTACTGCTCCCAGTGACCCTGTAATAACATAATATTTACTGCTCCCAGTAACCATGTAATAACATAATATGTACTGTAATAACATAATATTACTGCTCCCAGTGACCCTGTAATAACATAATATTTACTGCTCCCAGTGACTGTAATAACATAATATTTACTGCTCCCAGTGACTCTGTAATAACATAATATTTACTGCTCCCAGTGACTCTGTAATAACATAATATTTACTGCTCCCAGTGACCCTGTAATAACATAATATGTACTGCTCCCAGTGACCATGTAATAACATAATATTTACTGCTCCCAGTGACTCTGTAATAACATAATATTTACTGCTCCCAGTGACCCAGTAATAACATAATATTTACTGCTCCCAGTGACCCTGTAATAACATAATATTTACTGCTCCCAGTGACCCTGTAATAACATAATATTTACTGCTCCCAGTGACCCTGTAATAACATAATATTTACTGCTCCCAGTGACCCTGTAATAACATAATATTTACTGCTCCCAGTGACCCTGTAATAACATAATATTTACTGCTCCCAGTGACCCTGTAATAACATAATATTTACTGCTCCCAGTGACCCTGTAATAACATAATATGTACTGCTCCCAGGGACCCTGTAATAACATAATATTTACTGCTCCCAGTGACCCTGTAATAACATAATATTTACTGCTCCCTAGTGACCCTGTAATAACATAACATTTACTGCTCCCAGTGACCATGTAATAACATAATATTTACTGCTCCCAGGGACCCTGTAATAACATAATATTTACTGCTCCCAGTGACCATGTAATAACATAATATTTACTGCTCCCAGTGACCCCTGTAATAACATAATATTACTGCTCCCAGTGACCCTGTAATAACATAATATTTACTGATCCCTAGTGACCCTGTAATAACATAATATTTACTGATCCCTAGTGACCCTGTAATAACATAATATTTACTGCTCCCAGTGACCATGTAATAACATAATATGTACTGCTCCCAGGGACCCTGTAATAACATAATATTTACTGCTCCCAGTGACCCTGTAATAACATAATATTTACTGCTCCCTAGTGACCCTGTAATAACATAATATTTACTGCTCCAAGTGACCCTGTAATAACATACTATTTACTGCTCCCAGTGACTGTAATAACATAATATTTACTGCTCCCAGTGACTCTGTAATAACATAATATTTACTGCTCCCAGTGACTCTGTAATAACATAATATTTACTGCTCCCAGTGACTGTAATAATATAATATTTACTGCTCCCAGTGACCATGTAATAACATAATATTTACTGCTCCCAGTGACTCTGTAATAACATAATATTTACTGCTCCCAGTGACCCTGTAATAACATAATATGTACTGCTCCCAGTGACCCTGTAATAACCTAATATTTACTGCTCCCAGTGACCCTGTAATAACATAATATGTACTGCTCCCAGTGACCCTGTAATAACATAATATGTACTGCTCCCAGTGACCATGTAATAACATAATATGTACTGCACCCAGTGACCCTGTAATAACATAATATTTACTGCTCCCAGTGACCCTGTAATAACATAATATTTACTGCTCCCAGTGACCCTGTAATAACATAATATTACTGCTCCCAGTGACCCTGTAATAACATAATATTTACTGCTCTCAGTAACCCTGTAATAACATAATATTTACTGCTCCCAGTGACCCTGTAATAACATAATATTTACTGCTCCCAGTAACCATGTAATAACATAATATGTACTGCTCCCAGGGACCCTGTAATAACATAATATTTACTGCTCCCAGTGACCCTGTAATAACATAATATTTACTGCTCCCAGTGACCCTGTAATAACATAATATGTACTGCTCCCAGGGACCCTGTAATAACATAATATTTACTGCTCCCAGTGACCCTGTAATAACATAATATTTACAGCTCCCAGTGACCCTGTAATAACATAATATATACTGCTCCCAGTGACCCTGTAATAACATAATATTTACTGCTCCCAGTGACCCTGTAATAACATAATATTTACTGCTCCCTAGTGACCCTGTAATAACATAACATTTACTGCTCCCAGTGACCATGTAATAACATAATATTTACTGCTCCCAGTGACCCAGTAATAACATAATATTTACTGCTCTCAGTGACCCCTGTAATAACATAATATTTACTGCTCCCAGTGACCCTGTTATAAATATATAATATTTACTGCTCCTAGTGACCCTAAGTAATAACATAATATTTACTGCTCCTAGACTTGTAATAACATAATATTTACTGCTCCTAGTGACCCCTGTACAATATAATATTTACTGCTCCTAGCACCCTGTAATAACATAATATTTTACTTCCCAGTGACCCTGTAATAAATATAATATTTACTGCTCCTAGTGACTCTGTAATAAATAATATTTACTGCTCCTAGTGACCCTGTAATAACATAAGCATATGTACTGCTCCCAGTGACCCTGTAATAACATAATATTTACTGCTCTCAGTGACCCTGTAATAATATAATATTTACTGCTCAGTGACTTCCTAGTAATAACATAATACATTGCTCCTGTGCTTTTAATCTCTGTAACATAATATTTACTGCTCCCAGTGACCCTGTAATAACATAATATTTACTGCTCCCAGTGACCCAGTAATAACATAATATTTACTGCTCCCAGTGACCGTGTAATAACATAATATTTACTGCTCCCAGTGACCCTGTAATAACATAATATGTACTGCTCCCAGTGACCATGTAATAACATAATATTTACTGCTCCCAGTGACCATGTAATAACATAATATGTACTGCTCCCAGTGACCATGTAATAACATAATATGTACTGCTCCCAGTGACTCTGTAATAACATAATATTTACTGCTCCCAGTGACCCTGTAATAACATAATATTTACTGCTCCCAGTGACCATGTAATAACATAATATTTACTGCTCCCAGTGACCATGTAATAACATAATATTTACTGCTCCCAGTGACCATGTAATAACATAATATTTACTGCTCCCTGTGACCCTGTAATAACATAATATTTACTGCTCCCAGTGACCCTGTAATAACATAATATTTACTGCTCCCAGTGACTCTGTAATAACATAATATGTACTGCTCCCAGTGACCCTGTAATAACATAATATTTACTGCTCCCAGTAACCCTGTAATAACATAATATGTACTGCTCCCAGTGACCCTGTAATAACATAATATTTACTGCTCCCAGTGACCCTGTAATAACATAATATTTACTGCTCCCAGTAACCCTGTAATAACATAATATGTACTGCTCCCAGTGACCCTGTAATAACATAATATTTACTGCTCCCAGTGACTCTGTAATAACATAATATGTACTGCTCCCAGTGACTCTGTAATAACATAATATTTACTGCTCCCAGTGACTCTGTAATAACATAATATGTACTGCTCCCAGTGACTCTGTAATAACATAATATTTACTGCTCCCAGTGACCATGTAATAACATAATATTTACTGCTCCCAGTGACCATGTAATAACATAATATTTACAGCTCCCAGTGACCATGTAATAACATAATATTTACTGCTCCCAGTGACCCTGTAATAACATAATATTACTGCTCCCAGTGACCCTGTAATAACATAATATTTACTGCTCCCAGTGACCATGTAATAACATAATATGTACTGCACCCAGTGACCCTGTAATAACATAATATTTACTGCTCCCAGTGACCCTGTAATAACATAATATGTACTGCTCCCAGTGACCCTGTAATAACATAATATATACTGCTCCCAGTGACCCTGTAATAACATAATATTTACTGCTCCCAGTGACCCTGTAATAACATAATATTTACTGCTCTCAGTGACCATGTAATAACATAATATTTACTGCTCCCAGGGACCCTGTAATAACATAATATGTACTGCTCCCCAATGACCCCTGTAATAACATAATATGTACTGCTCCCAGTGACTCTGTAATAACATAATATTTACTGCTCCCAGTGACCCTGTAATAACATAATATTTACTGCTCCCAGTGACCCTGTAATAACATAATATTTACAGCTCCCAGTGACCATGTAATAACATAATATGTACTGCTCACAGTGACCCCTGTAATAACATAATATTTACTGCTCTCAGTGACCATGTAATAACATAATATTTACTGCTCCCAGTGACCCTGTAATAACATAATATTTACTGCTCCAGTGACCCTGTAATAACATAATATTTACTGCTCCCAGTGACCCTGTAATAACATAATATTTACTGCTCCCAGTGACCCTGTAATAACATAATATTTACTGCTCCCAGTGACCCTGTAATAACATAATATTACTGCTCCCAGTGACCATGTAATAACATAATATTTACTGCTCCCAGTGACCCTGTAATAACATAATATATACTGCTCCCAGTGACCCTGTAATAACATAATATTTACTGCTCCCAGTGACCCTGTAATAACATAATATATACTGCTCCCAGTGACCCTGTAATAACATAATATATACTGCTCCCAGTGACCCTGTAATAACATAATATTTACTGCTCCCAGTGACCCTGTAATAACATAATATTTACTGCTCCCAGTGACCCTGTAATAACATAATATTTACTGCTCCCAGTGACCCTGTAATAACATAATATGTACTGCTCCCAGTGACCCTGTAATAACATAATATTTACTGCTCCCAGTGACCCTGTAATAACATAATATTTACTGCTCCCAGTGACCCTGTAATAACATAATATTTACTGCTCCCAGTGACTCTGTAATAACATAATATTTACTGCTCCCAGTGACCCTGTAATAACATAATATGTACTGCTCCCAGTGACCCTGTAATAACATAATATATACTGCTCCCAGTGACCCTGTAATAACATAATATTTACTGCTCCCAGTGACCCTGTAATAACATAATATTTACTGCTCCCAGTGACCCTGTAATAACATAATATTTACTGCTCCCAGTGACCATGTAATAACATAATATTTACTGCTCCCAGTGACCCTGTAATATCATCATATTTACTGCTCTCAGTGACCCTGTAATAACATAATATGTACTGCTCCCCACTGACCCTGTAATAACATAATATTTACTGCTCTCAGTGACCCTGTAATAAAATAATATTTACCAATCCACAGTGACCCATGTAATAACATAATATTGAAACAAAGAACATAGAAACATAGAATGTGACGGCAGATAAGAACCATTCGGCCCATCTAGTCTGTCCAATTTTCTAAATACTTTCATTAGTCCCTGGTCTTATCTTATAGTTAGGATAGCCTCATGCCTATCCCACGCATGCCTAAACTCCTTTACTGTGTTAACCTCTACCACTTCAGCTGGAAGGCTATTCCATGCAGCCACTACCCTCTCAGTAAAGTCAGTCCCTACATTGGCTTCCTGTAAGATATAGGGCTCAATTTAAAATTCTGGTTCTTGCTTTCAAATCTCTACATAATGCTGCTCCCACCTATCTATCCTCCCTTATACACAAGTATGTTCCGTCTAGGCCCTTACTATCGAAGACTTACGTCTATCTTCTGTCCGTACTCCCACCTCTGATGCTCGCCTTCAAGATTTCTCGAGGGCTGCACTGTTCCTGTGGAACTCTCTTCCCTCCGCCGTTGCTCACCCAGTCTCCACTGCTTCAAAAAAATCATTAAAAACCCACTTCTTCATAAAAGCGTATCAATTAAACTGTTAATAGCTCCAGACTGATTCCCCTTATGCAACTGTCACTAGTCTAATACTATCCTTACCTTTTTTTGTGTCATTTTACCCCACTCCCTCTAGCATGTAAGCTCATTGAGCAGGGCCCTCAACCCCTCTGTTCCTGTGTGTCCAACTTGTCTGGTTACAACTACATGTCTGTTCGTCCACCCATTGTAAAGCGCTGCAGAATTTGATGGCGCTATATAAATTACTGCTCTCATTGACCCATGTAATAACATACTATTACTGCTCTTCAGTGACCCTGTAACAACATATTTACTGCTCTCCAGTGACCCTGTAATAACATATTTTACTGCTCCCTAGTGACCCCTGTAATATCCCTGTGGATTGAGGAGGAGAAAGCGCTCCTGATCTGTGAAGCTCAGAGATTTTATCCTCAGAATTTGACCATTTTGTGGAGTTTTTCCCTGATGGAAACCCAGAGTTGGGACAATGTCACAGAGAATGAGGACCGCACGTACACCAAGAGGTCCACTGTGAAGATAACATCGAGAATGTGGGGTCAGAGTGTGACCTGCTGCCTGGAGCACCGCTCACTCACTGCCCCACTCAGTAAGAGCCTGAATCTCTATGGTAAGTCATTGAAATATGTTGTCAAAAGCATCTAATGTATGGGTTCAAATGTCTATTAATTTATTAAACATCCCAAATCCTTTTCCTTAAATAAACTCCTTGGATTTCATATTTTGTAATATTCACATAGCACATCAAATTCCTTCTATGTTTGGTGTGTGTTTGTAGATGAACATTGGTACATCTATAATAGACATATGCAGTATAACATACATTGTTACACATATAATAGACACATACAGTACAGTTATAGATACATTGATACACATATAATAGACATAGAGCAGTTATAGATAGTGTTACACATATAATTAAATACAGTCCAGTTATAAATATTGTTTTACAGATATACTAGAGATGTACAGTTAGATCTATTGTTACACATCACATACAGTAGTTATAGATACATTGTTACATATAACAGACATGTATAGTATAATTATATACACATTGTTACACATATAAATATATAACATACAGTAATAGATACATTGTTATATATGTATATATATATATATATATATATATTTGTGTTAAGGGCTCATGATAGTACAGAAGATACAAACATTGATAAGTATGGGATAGTGTGAAAGAGCAAGTCGGTTGTGGTGTGCCGGAACCGACGATGAGGTAGGCCTGTAAATAAAGAGGGCCCACCAATAAGAAATGTATGAGAAAAGGAGTTAATAAAAGAGGAGTGGGTGGGAGGGTGATGCGGCGCTGACCTCGAACGGTATGGAGCCAGGTAAGGGGTGTCCCTTAAGTAGGGAGAAGGTGAGTCATACGCCCCTCCCACAATTACAGGCCAAAAGGCCTTAATACTTGTGTTAAGGGCTCATGATAGTACAGAAGATACCAACACTGATAAGTATGGGATAGTGTGAAAGAGCAAGTCGGTTGTGGTGTGCCGGAACCGACGATGAGGTAGGCCTGTAAATAAAGAGGGCAAAAAGTAGAAAATATACTTTATTACGAAACGAGCAGTATACATACTTCAACCAGACATATCTTGAAAGGCATTTCTAATTTCTTGTACTGGGTTAGGTATGTATCTAGAGTATGCAGAAGACTTCCAGCGCCCTAGTGATTTGATAACATGTACTGGAATGTTTGCACTGGACGCTGTGGAGGCCGCCCCTATGCGGAAGGAGTGGCCCGAATAGTTAGCTGATTTTAGGCCTAGTTGTGTAAGTAGGGACCTGACGTGGGTCATGAAGGTGGTGGTAGTGAGTACCGAACCTTGTAGACAGAAAAGTGGTTGAGATGGTGATGCTTTGAAATGCTGAGTATAGGTGTCCAGTAATGTGACGGGGCACCACACGTTGTGGGTAGGATAGTATCTAACCTCTACCGGGGGTGCGTGTTGATTGGTTTTGGAGTGATGCAGAGCTAAAATATAGTAATCCATGTGTTTTGTTAAGTGTGAATGAAGCAGAATGTGAGTGGACTGGGATGTGTTGATGGCGGTAAATTCTCTTGGTCTCAAGAAACCATAAAAGCTACGTATATGGCGGTTTTTATAACAAGGTTTGTGTTGTTCGCAAAGGGTTTTGAATCTAGTAGGCTGGATAAATCCTTGAAGATATTGAAGTCTATAGGTAGCCTTTGCACGGTACGTGGGGGTTCGGATCTCTGGATACCTCTAAGGATGTTTTTGATCTGGTAGGAGGACATGAAACTTGTGTTGTTTGGTTGTAATGTTAGCATGTGATGTTGTATGCCTGTCAGATATAGCTTGATTGTGTTGTAAGATAATTTAAGTTTGAGGTGGCAAAAGAAGCAAAACCTAACAAAGATGTCATGATGAAAGGTTGTGTGATGTTGTGCAGTGACAGGAATCTTTTAAATAGAAGGAAAGCCCTGTCATATGTTCTCCGGGTATTGGTGGACAGTGCTAATTGTGCCAATGTCCTGCTATGTTGCATAATAGCTTCTAGTCCATGACTAGCTGGTGGAAAGGTGGAGGGGTCGTGGCTGTACGTGCGGCTGACGGAAGTATTTGCCGAAAAGCCTGAAAATTGAAACGAGACAAATTGTCAGCAGCCGTGTTACAAACACCTGGGACATGGACACAAAACAAGAAGAAATTGTGGCATGCAGCTAGCCAGGTGAGTTTCCTCAAGAACCTCATAATGGTCAGTGACTTGGATCGGCCTTTGTTTATGATGTGGCAGGTAGCTTGGTTGTCTGAGTGGCAACGTACTGACGAACCTGCCCATAGATGCCCCCATGTCACGGCAGCTGCCACAATGGGATACATCTCAAATAGAGCTGAGGTAGTGGAAAAACCTTCGAGGTCCTGTACCTCTGGAGGCCAGCTACCCCAAAGCCATTCATTCCCGTAAATTGCTGCAAAAACCTGTGGTAGACGCCGCGTCTGACCAGATGGTAGGTGAGGAGTCAGACAATTTAGGGAGAAACATGCTTTTCCCATTCCAGGTGGTCAAAAAGTTTCTCCACATAAGTAGGTCTGCCGTGGCTTGGGTATCCAGTGGTAACCTGTGTGCATCATGTCTAAACAGTGGGAACATGGTTAGAAGCCGTGAGATGAAAGCCCGGCCTTGAGGTATAATGCGCATGGCAAAGTTCAGTGACCCAAGTAGAGACTGCAATTCTTTGCGATTGCAAGTACCGAGGGGTATGTAGAGGTTAATGTTGGTGAGAATGTTCTCTATCTTGGTGCGTGGCAGGCTGGCTTGCATGGTGGCTGAGTCTAGCATGATTCCCAGAAAGGTGATGACTGTATCTGGTCCTTCAGTTTTGGTGGGGGAGACTGGAACACCCACCTGTTTAAAAAGACTGATGGTTTCTATGAGGCTACTGGGAGGGGAAGTGTTCTCTTCGATCAGTAAGAAATCATCCAGGTAGTGTATAACTGTAGGGCATCTGGCTACATTTAATAATAACCAGCATAATGTTTCGGCGAATACGTCAAAAATGGCCGGACTACTTTTTGAACCAAACGTTAGGCGTGAGAAAAAGTAGTAGTGCCCGGCCCACTTAATGCCATGCAGGTGCCATAGTGTAGGGTGGATAGGCAATAATTTGAAGGCATTTGTAATGTCAGTCTTGCTGAGCCATGCTCCGACCCCTGCCTGCATGATAGCTGTAATGGCGTGATCTATGGTGGAGTATTGAAGTGAAAATTCCTCAGAGGGGATAAGGGAGTTCAGACTAGGTGAGGCAGAGGTGTGAGGTGCAGACAGATCGATGATAAGTCTTTGTTTGTGGGAAGATTTCCCTGTGACAATACCGATGGGGTTTGTCCGCCATGTGGAAAAAGGAGAGGACTGAAAGGGTCCCAATAGGAAGCCCTCTGCCACTTCTTTGGCTATGAGTGTGCTAACCGCTGTAGGGTTTTGTTGTGCAGATTGTAAATTAGGACATTCAAGGATTCCTGAAGGCATGTGTATGAGACCAGTATGGAATCCTTGTGATAGACCAGTGATGATGAAGTCTACCAAATGTCTGGATGGATGTCGTGACAGTAATGCCGTGAGTACAGAAATATTTATCTCGGTTAAGTATTGCTTAGGGTACATTTTATTTGGACACATGGTTTTCGCATGTGCCCTAAAACATTTTGAACATATATGCAATAACCGACAACCGCTGTAATTACATGCACCGACATTGAAATTATTACATATTTGGGACTTCCCCAAAAACTTGATAGGTCGACCCAGTTTGTCTTTGGGTGTTCTCTCTGCTGACACAGCGGAGCTAGTGCCCTGCGAGGTGGTAGGTTCGTTCGCAGTGGTCGGACAAAAATTGGCAGTATGAGCCATGGAGGAGCAGTGTGCACAGGCCGGTGCTCTTAGACCTGCAAAGTGCCTGCAAAAAATGATCGTATCAATCTTACTCCAGTTGGACCTTGTCCCGTACTGTGAGAAGGCGCCAGACACTTTGGCAGAAAAGGATCTATGGTAGTCATAGAAAGCTGACCCACCATATTTGTTGCCCAGATCAACCAGCCTGTGTATATATAAGTCAAACTCCTCACGTCTGTGGGGATATACCGTACAGACCACATCCCGATAAATGCCAAAAGCTAATACAAATTCTGGAATGGTTAGCTTCCTATTTAATCGTGCATCCCTAGATTTGACCACCACAGAAATATCGCCATAAGCGTAGGTCTTATGTTCCACTATATCCTGGGAGGCAATTAGTAGTGAGGCCAGATTGACATCTTTACCTTCCAGGATATCTCTCCTGAGGTGCTCAGGAATCATGTGGGCAGGGTAAACTTCTTGGTCATCCGAGGTGATAGCTGGAGAAACTGATTGCAACTCCACCACTGATGGGGGAATTGCCGTGGCCGGTCCAGCCATAGTGAGGGCTGTAGTGACCGATTCAAGTTTCTCCAGCCTAGAATTGACCTTGCTCATGGATGTCATGAGGGACGTGAGCATGTCATGTATGTTCCCTGGGTGGGACTGGCTCGACCCTTCCCCAGCGTCCGTGTTATCGGTTGAGGTGTGTAATAATCTGTAAAGTTCCGCTTTCCTTGCTGTTGCTGGAAAAGGGATTTGTCGTCTCCTGAGTTCGCTAGTGATACGAGGGATAGTCCATGATCTGAAAGATGCTGGACTAGCCGTATCTTCCTCCTGTGATGGGGTGTTGGTTCTAGCCGGAGTCCTTGGGATGGAGAAATCCTCTACCCCTTCTTGCGACATACTAGATTACAAAGTATATGGTTAGCGTAAAAACCCCCGAGGGGATGTACTGGCAGGCTAATTATGCCGGATGAGGCGAAAAATTAAACTTGTTCTTTGGTGACAGGTGAGGCCCTGCTAGTTGCCAAGTGGCTATGAGAGGCTCTATCTATGCGTTGGCGCGAGGGGTTATTGAGGCCACCCGACGTAGTGGCAGGAATTCGTAGGCCTCTCGGTGACAATACAAGAAAACAGGGGAAGGGAGTGACAGGTGGCACCCTCTCTATAATGCGAGGCGGCTAACTCACGTGTGGCCCGGGGGGCATTACCTCCGAAACGTTGAGGCGGGGTGTTGGCCTCGCGGACCACTAAACGATAGGCAGAATGCCTGGAGGGGGGATACCTATTTGGGCCTATAACCCCTGAAATTGCCAGTACTCTATGTCCTAAGTAGAGGAGGAACCATATGTGATGTATGGCGTGAGCAGGCTTAACGTACCTGGTAGTATGTATGCGTTTGATAAGCGATAGGTAGAGAAAACTGGAAAAACCTAAAGGGATAGAAAAACCAAATATGATAGTGTGAGAATTGGATCCTATGATACCAATTTAGACTAGTTAGTTGTGGTGAGTTCTAGTAGTACATATGGAATGGGAATATATGAATGATATTGGCCCGACTGGCCCTGTCTGTGGTATGGTAATCATGCTTGGGGGTGTGTATGATATGTCTCTATGGTGACCAGATTTAATAGTAATGCTAGTGTTTGTAGTATAATAAGGTGCAGGATTTAAAACAATACCGTATATGTTAGGCCGTAAACGTAAGCCATGAAAAGAGGTAAGTACGAGGTACAGAAATATTTGAGAAGTTATCCCAATTAGGAAACAACGTGATGTATGAGTGGTTGAATCAAGACGTGTGATTCAACCCGAAAGTTTGTGAGATTTATGAGACCGTGTTCTTGTGTACTTGGTATGTCGTTTGAGTACACAAAGAAAAAGTCAGAATATATAAGTGCCATGTAAGAAACGTGAGTACATGGTATGATAGAAACGTAATTTCTAAACATAATTTTTAACGTAAATCCTACAAAAGATATCTGTGAAATGTAAAAGCTTGTCTAAGCTTAACTCCATAAATAAATGTATATAACATGAAGAATTTCAATAAAACTTTAATGATACCATATCTGCTAAAAGATTAAACCATAACCTAAATAAACACTTATTCATGAGTAGTTAACAGGGGTATTGCCCCAGTCATGCAAGGATTTTGTAATTTGCATAAAATAATTAACAGTAATAACATAAAACCAATTATAGCTGATGATATGCATAACAAGTTTGCTTAATACAAGAAAAACCGAACCGATATGCCTGCCGGCAGCAAAGGGGTTAATATGCCTGTGACTTGGCCGTAAAGCGTGTGGCCGTAAAGTAAGGCCGTTTAAAATCGCGACGCCGTGGGAAATGATCCGGGCGACGGACTTACGATTTTGAAGTCCTGTGGACTTAATCTGCGACGAAAACACCGGGTATGTGCGCGGCTGAACGGGCGGAAAACCTGTAAGGATTCCTGGACACAGCTACACCAAACGAAAACCGCGGGTTTTGAAAAGCAAGATGGCGCCGTACGTGAACCGGAAGTGGATTCTCGATGCGGCGCTGACCTCGAACGGTATGGAGCCAGGTAAGGGGTGTCCCTTAAGTAGGGAGAAGGTGAGTCATACGCCCCTCCCACAATTACAGGCCAAAAGGCCTTAATACATATATATACAGTATAGTTATACACAATGTTTTACACATACAATCAGGGCCGGGCTGGCCCACCGGAATACCGGGAAATTTCCCGGTGGGCCGTCGGCACCTGGGGCCTGGCAGACACCTGGGTCTGCTGGCGGCCGCTGGGGAGGTCTTCTGGGGACTTGTCCTGGCGGCCGCTGGGGGAGCTGTGCTGGCTCTGCTCTCCCGCCCTCGCGCGCTGCTGAATGAGACCGGCGCCGGAATATGACGTCATATTCCGGCGCTGGTCTCATTCAGCAGCGCATGAGGGCGGGAGAGCAGAGCCAGCGCAGCTCCCCCAGCGGCCGCCAGGACAAGTCCCCAGAAGACCTCCCCCTGGCAGGTATTAGTAATCTGTCTGTCTGTCATTGTGTAAATGAAGTGTGTGTGTGTGTTTCTGTGTCTGTCATGGTGTAAATGTGTGTTTAAAAATAGTGTTTTTGCTCACCACTTTTTTTTTTTTTTTTACGCAGCATGCTGGTCTCCCCTCGACTGGCCCTGCCTCTATAGCTGAGATCATCAAGCTTGGTGATCTCAGCCAATCCAATGTATCTCTATGGGGAACGTTCAGCACCTACAGAGTGTGGAGGCCCTGAATGTAGGTGCACTAACACAGGAAGCACCTCTAGTGACTGTCACTAGCAGTGTCACTTTGAAGCAATGTAAACACTGACTTTTCTCTGAAAAGTCAGTGTTTACGTTGAAAAGCCTGTAGGGACATGCCACCACATTAAGCTGTGTGTGTGAGTCTGCTAGTGAGTGAGCTTGTGTTTTTATGTCAATAAGCTGATGTATATCCGTAAGATTGTTTGTCTATGAGGCTGTGTGTCGTTGAGATGTCAGTGAAATTGCCTGTGTCTGCATGTGAGTATGCTTACTGTATAATTAAACGTTTTACCCTGAAAGGACCAATATTTTATATTAGAAAGAGAGATAGATAGATATATATATTCTCTCTCAATCATCTGTCCTGGCAAGACATAGCCTTACATATTACATGCGATAATATCTGGCACAATTTTTTTTTATTTTATTTTTTTCAGGGCTGCTTTGGATCCCCAGTCTAGCCCTGCATACAATTGGAGACATATACAGTACAGTTATAGATAAATTGTTACACATATAAAGGACACATACAGTACAGTTTTAGATACATTGTTACAGTTATAGTAGACATACACAATTCAGTTATAGATGCATTGTTACACTGTGTGTGTGTTGTATATTTGCCGTGAGGCAAACAAGGCATTTGCCTTTGGCGGCACTTTCAAGGGAGCAGCAAGAAACTCCGTCCCCAAATGCCTTGTAAGCCTCAGGGCAGGCAGCAAGTTGAAGTTCAGGCGGGCGGAGAGGGAGCGCTGATTTGTGAGCTCTCCCTGCTCTGCTTCCGCACGCTGCACAGTGATGCTGGGAGCCGGAATATGACGTCACATTCCTGTTCCCAGCATCACTCTGTGGCACCTCTGGACTTCAACTGGCTGCCTGCCCAAACAACCCAGCCAGCAGCCCCACTGGACCCCAAAGGTAGGGAAGCTGGGTGAATTAAAAATAAAATAAATAATAATCTGTGAGTGGTTGTTACGGTACCTCCAGTAATTAAATGCACAAACCGCTGTTTAGTGAATGGTCCCCGTTCGCAATACTGTGGTCTGGTAGCGTAGACAGTGAAACCATGCGAACCGCCAGCTAGGGAACACTCCAAACTCCCGAACGGTACCTGTAAGGCTCTTTCCCTTCTCGAGCTCCAAATGCACGAATCGCTAATAGCAGCCGAACGGCAATAGTTTCCAAGCGGCAAATAATTCCAATAAGCAGTCTCTAGGCACCGGTAATAAAATCCCCCCCAATAACGAGACCAAGCTCCGCTTTGAGGGTAAAACACGAACTGATTTACTGTGGGCTACCTGCCCGGTATTTATGCAGGTCTCCCACTTGGTGGACACTCCCCTAGGGGACCAAATGGGAGACTGGAATACCCCACAATATTCCCAGCATGCATCACAGTTTCCTCCCCTCTGCTCGGGAGATAACTGGGAAGTAATTCAATTATCTCCCCGAGCAGAGGCAAATCGCCATTTTAACTCAAAGTTATAAAACACATTAAAATACATAACTTTCTAATTGCCGAACATATTGTATTCGTGTAACACATCCCCAGATAGCCTGGATCTGAGTGCATATTATTGGCGAATAGCGCTCAGATCCCATGCGCATAGTTCAATCGCCATGGAGTCAAAGTCTATTACAGTTCTTCGGTATGCGATTGACTCCATGGGAAGGCTATCTGGGCTAAGTCCATTCGTGTTGTTTAAAACTCGAACGCCAGCATTCGCATGCTTTGTCGCATTGAGAAGGGGAGACGACGCCTAGCGCCGTGTTCAGCCGGTGCGTCCGCCAGTTCCATGAATTAACCGTCAACACCGCTGGTCTTTCGTGCATGGTTTAAAATGGCCACCGCGGGTCGACATACCAATCCATCTACCTCACCCGGTGACGTTTTAATTGAGAAGGCCCGTGGTTAACCCAACGCTCTAATTGGGATCAATAGGTTAACCAGCAGCAAATACTCTTCCGGTGGCCGTCCGCTCGGTAGTTCCGCTCTAATAAAAAAAGGATATTCCCTAAACAAAGCATACTAATGGGGAATTCATGCAATTGGCAATACAGACTAATACAGTGGCCTTTAGTCCATACAGATGGGTCTGTCACAGTGGGGGGGTTCTGTCAATGCGTGTCTCTGAGTGTGTCTGTGAGGGAGCGTGTGTCTTTTAGGGTGATTGTTTGTGTCTGTCAGTGTCAAATCTGTGTGTGTGTATGTCAGTGTGTTTGTCAGTCAAAGTTTGTGTTAGTCTTTGACAGGACGAGGTGTGGCCTTAACAGGAAGGGTTGGGACAATTTAAATTGGGGGGGCGGGTGTAGGGGAGGTGCCCAAGTTCCGTCATGCCTAGGGCAGCACAGATCCAGTATAAACCACTAATTAGATCCGTGTGTATCTATTCTGATGCTGCCTATGAGAGGTGGAAACGTTGTCTGGGGTCGCTGTATCTCTCTCTTGTTAGGGATATCATTGAATACACTGTATGATTAATAATGATGTCTCTGGTTTATCACAGGCTCGGTGACGTCTCTTTACCATCAGTTGTTTCCGGTGCGAGTTCTGATGACTCTGATTCTCATATTAAGTCCGTTAATCTGCCAGTTGTATATTCACTTCGCCAAATGATAAGGTAAGTCCGCATGTTACCGAGTCTTAGGAGAAACACAGGATAATATGATATTTACCCTACATTAGAACCCAGGATCTCACAGTTCCTCCTAATGGGCCTATTTAATAGCATGTCTTCAATATTTGTTCAGCACCAGATACAATGTATTGTTTGTATTAAACTTTTTCTGTTTGGGTTCTCTATCAAGTATAAGGTTTATATTGGGGTATACATGCTTACTGAATAGCAGCTCACCCATTGGCTTCAATAGAGGAATTTCTATTCAGTGAGCAGGAAACCCTAAGGACTTATTTCAATGTTGTCGTTACTTTTTACCGACCGATAACTAATCTATAAACAGTCTGTCACTACAGATAGTGAGTAGCGGCCATTTTCTGACTATAACATGCAACCAGTAGCGACAGTTACCACTACATAGCCAGTCACTAACAGCTCACATTATTCTCTACGGGAGCCGCCAACTGACACTCATCCTGTTTTTACCGCTGGTTTCCAATCTTGTCACCTCTTTACCGGCTGTCGCTAACTCTCAAACCACTGGCAGAGGATCCATGGCATGGCTTCCGAGGGATCCATGGAGACAGTAACTGGGGGGTTAATAAGACTTTCAACTTTCATGTGAAGAAATAATATCTATATTAAACATATAAACTAAATTTGTATTAATAACGGCATTTTATCAGTTCTGACGAAATTCCATTACAGCTCCACATGCCTTTTTTTTTTTTTTTAATGAGTGAAACCGTTATATCTCTCTGTTTTACAAGACTGACCTCGATGTGTGAACGTGATGCAGGATCCACCTTCAGGATGTTTCTATCGCCATGCTGGTCCATTACACAATAAATGCTATATTATTCTAAATGTTGCTTTACTGCTTTGTATCTCTGAATAAAAATACTTAACACGATATTTGTATTTTATGTCTCTGTAAAGCAAATCACATTTATTTTAATGACATTAATTAAATTTAATTCAGAAATTATCAGAGGATTTGGGATTTACATTAAGAAACTCAAGGTGGAGTAAGGAGAATGTAAATATCTACTCAGGACCAGCTGAGCTACTGTTAGTATAAATATCCTAATAAACATGGTAGGTGCTCTGTAAATATTAGGGCAGCTTATATCTTACTCTGCTAAAACCTCTTCCATTATAAAGGACAATGTATAGAATTGTGTTTTTTTTTTGTGTTTTTTTTAAATTTGACAATTTTTGTTTTCTTTTTCATCAATAATTGGTAGGGGGAGAAAGAAAGGAAAGAGGGAGGGGGGGATTCAGCTTCGTTGTATGTATATACAAGTCATGCATGGTATACACAAAGTTTGGTACAGTTATTTTTCGTTAGCACAGAGCAATGCGTCAATATGTACAGTATTTCTTAGTTGTAGTGTCTCGACCCGGCTCTGCCTATTGTTGGTTCTTTATGTGTCTTTAGCTTTATCGTGGGGTTGAGTAGGGAACCTTTATATTTGATGTCTTTGTCTCCCAGGCAGCCATTGTTGTCTTTTTAGGGGGGCAGGTGTTATGGCAGTGCTTCTCATAAATATGCTGGTTATCTACCTCTGCTAGGACTGTCCCTATTGATGGGGTTTTGCTTGATTTACATGCCCTTGCTATTACGCGTTGGGTCATAAGTAGCAGGTGGTATGTAATTTTCTTTATGTGCGGAGGTGTCCTGGGGGGGAGTATAAGGAGTAGGTACGTGCGCTGGTCATAGATTAATTCAGTATGTGTGATATCTCGAATTGTCTGTTGGATAGCCTGCCAAAAAGATTTAACCCGTGGGCATTGCCACCAAAGGTGCAGGACCGTGCCCACCTGTGTGGTGCACTTCCAGCACCTAGGTGAGCTGGATGGGTAGAGCTTATGAAGCTTTGTCGGTACTAAGTACCATCTGGAGATGATTTTCATGTGTTCTATGAGTGGCGCTGATTTAATCAACTTTTTAGGGGAAACCATTAAGTCGTCCCACTGCCGTTGTGTGATATCTTCCCCAAGCTCGGTTTTCCATTGTATTGCCTGAGTAGCCTCCATCAGAGGTGTATAGTCTAAGAGTAGTTTATAGCACATAGAGAGTGGTCTGGTGGACCTAGGGAGTCTTTTGTTGATACATATGCTTTCCCAGGTGGTAAGGGTGTCTGGGTCCATGCGTTTCCTCTGGGGGTTCGTGTTTGCGTATGAAGGATGTCAGTTGTCTATATGAAAATTGTGAGGTGGTTGGGAGGCCTTGCGTCGTTTGTAGTGTGTTGAAGTCTATAAGTTTGTCCCTCTTGTAAACCTGTGTTAGATGCGTGATGCCTTTCTCTTGCCACGGTTGTGCGTGAAATGTGGTTATGCAGTATGTAAGGGCCCACAAGGGTGTAGCTTTTGAAATTAGGGAGCTGGAGCTCAGCTTGGTTCTGTGCACGTCCCAAGTTTGTACTAGTAGTGCTATTTGGGCAGGTGGGTTGGTAAGCGGTGGTCTAAGGTGTTTGGGCAGCCATAGGATGTGAAGGAGTTCATACGGGTCCATTAGTCTCTTTTCCAGGGACACCCACTGTGGGGAGGGTTGTTCTAGGAAGTGTGGTAGTGCCGATGCTAGTATGGAGGCTTGGTAGTATGTGCGTACGTCTGGAACTGCTAGCCCTCCTGCTCTCATCAGCACTTTTAGTAGCTTTTGGGCCACTCAGGCTTTCCCTCCAGCCCAGATACATTTTTTAATGTCTCTTTGTATTGTTTTGAAGTATGAGTGGGACATGTGTATCGGTAGGGTCCTAAAGACATATTGTAGTCTTGGGAGTATGGACATTTTTAATGCGATTATCCTTTCTGTCCATGTAAGAAAGAGGGATCTCCAGCTTTTGAGTGTTATTTTGCATTCATTCCACACTTTAATGTAGTTTCCTGATAGTAAGTCTTTGTTTTGTCTAGTAATTAGGAGTCCCAGATATGTTATGCGGTCCTTTCTCCATTCAAAGTTATATTGGGTATTCAGTGATTGTATCAGGGAGGAGGGGAGGCCTATCCCCATAGCTTGTGTTTTCGCAGTGTTCGGGGAGTAATAATTGACCATACTCTTTTATTACCTGCATAGTCGTCCCTGATGAGGTCGGGCAGTATGTCGCTGAGTCTGTTAGCCAACACTTTCGCATATATTTTTGCGTCGGTATTCAATAGCGATATGGGGCGGTAGTTTTGGCATCTGTCCGGTGTCTTGCCCGGTTTTGGTAAGGTTACAATAGTCGCTGGCAGCATTTCTAATGGTAATTTCCCTGTTTGCGGCTGAGTGGTACACTTTGAGGAGGTCTGGGGAAGATTGATTTGGTGTAGGTATCCGTCTATTTCTTCCGTGCTAGCCGTGTGTGCGGTGCCGGAGGATTACAAGTTATATAGTTTGTAGTAAAACTCTGCAAATTCTTGACTTATATCTGCGGGTGTTTGGTGCTGTGTCCCATCTCCTCCTATGATGTGTGCGATCTTTGTGGTAGCATATTTTGCTCTGAGTCTGTTAGCTAGGTGTTTGCTAGCCTTGCCGCTATTATGGTATATGTTTGCTTTGAGTTTATAGTGGGGTGTTTTTGTCTTTTCCACGTTCAGTTCTGTCAACTTTTTATGTATTGCTTGCAGTTGTGCTGCTATTTGGGATGAGGGCAGTATTTTATTTTGTTTAGTGAGAATTGCTAATTGTTTCTGGCAGTCTAGGAGATTGGTTTGGTGGTGTCTCTTCAGGAAGGAGGCTCTCTGAATAAATAGTCCCCTCGTGACTGCTTTGTGGGCTAACCATACTGTAGTATCTGAAACTCCCTCTCCACTGTTGGTGGTAAAATATGTCTGCAGGGCCTCCCTGATTTTATTGCCAAAGGCGGTATTTGACAGTGAGTTGTTCAGCCGCCACGTACCTTTCCCTTTAAATTGGTAGGCGTCTAGGAGTTCTATATATACTGGGCAGTGGTCTGACCAAGTTATGTCCCCCATAGTGCATCCGGTCAATTGCGCTAAGAGTCGCCTGTCGATGAGGAATGCATCTATGAGTGTGTATGTGTTATGAACTTTGGAGTGGAAGGAATAACCTTTGTCCCCCGGGTGTAGTGATCCAAGCATCGTATAGGTTGTAATTGTCTATGAGCTTAGTGAAGGACTTACTGACAGAGACCATTCTCCATTTGCTGTTGCCTGTAAGAGAGGCAGTTGTGTCCAGTGTGGGCGATTGGACACAGTTGAAATCTCCACACAGTATTATATTGCCCTGTTTGCTTTTATCTATTTTGTGGAGTAACATTTGCATGTATTGCCCTTGCTTTTCATTGGGGAAGTACGTTGCTATGAGCGTGAGTTGAGCATTGTTGAATTGGCCTACTATCGTAACATATCTCCCTTTTGGGTCTATACACTGTGTTTGTATCTTAACTGCTATATCTTTGGGGATGACGATGGACACCCCTTTAGACTTAGTACTGGCAAGAGAGTGGAACTGGACAGGGTACTTCTTCCCGTATACTGTTGGGGTGTGGCCCTATCTAAAGTGCATTCTTGGATGCACGCAATGTCCACCCCATTGTCTGTGAGTTCTTTGAGTAATAATCTTCGTTTATTTGGGGTATTCAACCCTTTTACGTTTATAGGAGACTAATTTCATGTTAGTGTGGTTTGTGGCAGCTGGCTTCTACTTGCATAGCTATCATGCTTATATTTCAAAGCTATAGGCATGGAAGTAGGGTAGCTGAGTAGTGGTATTTGATGTTTGAAGCCGGTTGGGTCTTCAGGATAGGGGATATGGTCGGGTAGGAAAACTATGGGGAAAGTGTAGAAAATGGAAGGGCTAAAGAGCTCCGCCAGTGGGAGCTGAGATGCACCTGGGCTGTCCCGGTCGCATAGTATGGGGGGGTAGGAGTCTGAGCCTGTCCATAGGTGGGTTGCTCAGGTGCGGCCGAAGCGGTGGGGTGGAGGTGTGAAGCACTTTAGCGTGGAGTGACCTCGGGAGTCTATAGCTCCGTACCTGCATTGTGGCCCGTGG